ACAATTATCGTTGGCCAAGATATAAATCTGTTGGTACTCAAAAGTCGAAAATATACGATTACTTCGAGACAATTATCAAGTAGTTTGTGATAATGCAACATATATAATCGATGGTGGATTTCTCATGCATCCTGCCGTATGGAAAAAAAATTATACATTTAATATTATCATTAACAAATATATTAATTATTTATCAAATAATTTCGGTACAAATACTGTTGTCATTTTTGATGGTTACACTGATACCAGTAAAAATATCAAACGATCGAACAACTAAGACGAACCGCTTCCGTTTCTACATCTTCTGAAGTGCACTTCAATGAATCGATAGAAGTTCGTATCAGTCAAGAAAAATTCTTACCTAATCGATTTAATAAAAGAGAATTAATTGAAATGCTCACTGAGAAGTTCGAAGAAGTTGGTATTGCTACAAAACAATCACGTGATGATGCTGACGTCTTAATAGTTGAAACAGCGATTGAAAAAATCAATAAATAATACAATTATCGTTGGCCAAGATATAAATCTGTTGGTACTTCTCATAGCACGCACACAAATACTTGATCAACCCACTTCAATTTGTTTTAAAAACCAGGAAAAAACGATGTTGAAACACAAATATACTCGACTGATAGCCTCAACAAGTATGCACATTACACGAGAAATATTCTGTTTCTACATACCATGGGGGAAAGGAAGAATGAAAGTCATGAAGATGTTTGAAAAAAGACCCGATTAAAACAATTCTGCACACATATTACAACAAGAAAATTGCTCTCCAGATGTCATTGTCAATGCCATTTTCTACTAGCAATGTACGGTGCTCGAAAATCAGAACATTCGATAGATAATTACAGAGACTGTAGCTTTGCTAAACTAACAAGACAAAGCACAGTTGTAAATTTTCCATTATTACCACCTACTTCTTGAGCAGCTCCACAGCATATTTATCGAGTGTATTATCAAATACAAACCTGGCTAGGAAGAGAAATTGGTCCAGATCAGTGGGGTTGGGAGTCAGAAAATCATATACAACAGCTAATAACTAACAACTTTATTACCACCAGCACCCGATGATATATTAAACACAATATTTTGTAATTGTAAAAAAGGTTGTAGCGGCAAATGTAGTGCAAAAAAAATGTATTGCGATGTTCAAAATTTTGTAGATATTGCCTTGACCAGTCATGCTTAAACGCAGAGTCAACCAATGATGAAAATGATGAAAATGTCGATTTAAATACAGGAATAAGTCCACTCGACGCTTTGTCAGCAACTGTTAATGATATAGAAACTGAAGATAGGAACAATGAATGACAAAAAAATTATATACTAAAGTTTATTTTTTCTGGATTTTTCAGTATTCAAATAAAAAATTACTCACTCTTAAGTAAAAAGACCCTCCTATTACATATCGTGGATTATGCCTACGGGGGAAACCATGTAAAAAAAACGCGCCTTGCATTCTACCTCGAAGGTGGTGAGGAAACGAGCGTATCGTCATAATGTAGTCGCTTTCTCAGCGCTCTACTCCGATAAAGGTTAATTTTACAGATAAATATATTTTTTGTAGATAATTTCACGACAAATAATTTTTATAATGATCTCTATTGACCTCCGAGCAATAGGTCGCGAGATATTTGCAAAAAACTGATTTTCGTGACCTTTTGACCTTTATAACTTTTTTAGCCGGCACGATATCAATGTCAATTTTTCACATCTTCATTACAACACCGTAATAAAGGTGTATACAAAATTCCGTTCATAAAGAATTTTTTGGTAGCGACGAATCGGAGTCTGAAATACCTGTAAAAAATCAAAAAAGAAATCAGTCATCGCAGAAAGAAAAATTTGCACGATCCTGGGTAAAGGGAGACATCGTTCCGTGAGCTCAAGTGGAAGTAATGGATGAACCACAGCTTGCAAATGCTAACGCATCACTTATAAACGGAGAGAAAATTGTTTTAGTTTTTTTGTGACATCGTGTCTGAAGCTCATCAAAACGTAGCTTTCAGTTTCTATTGTGACAATTTTTTTAATTGCTATAAAGTCTCTAAAAAAAATCCATAATGATCCCACAGCCTAACCTCATCGCACAATACAATAAAAATGTGAAACAACAACATTTCCAACTACCGGATCAACATACGCTGCAAGAAATGGTACATACTAGACTAGACTAGCCCGTACATCTATAACAGAAGCCTTTAGGAAAAGTCACGGAGGACATCTGCTAATAGGCAATCAACCCAGGAGACGGTGTAAAGTCAGTAGTTATTGATGCGTGTTACTATATCTGGGTCACGGCTCCCCAAATCTAGGCCATGGTCCATCCATCAACATCTTACCAATTTTGGATCTTTAGAAGGTCTTTCTAGGTCATNGTACAAAATCATAGAGAGACAACAAAACTGTTATATTCCAAATTAAATGAAACTTTGACTCAAAATAAAGAAAAATTAATTGCCAAATTAAATAAAAATCGTGATGACCCGAAAATATTCAAACCACAGGTCAAAACATTCGTTAAACAGCATAAGCGTCAGAAAACCGCGAATAAGTTTGAAAAACCGACAATTATAACAAAAGTTAATGAGGAGCACAAAACAATAAAAACACCCACGCAAAATAAAGTACATATGGACAATATAAAACGCCCACTTAGAAAAACATATGATTTTAATAGTTAATTATATTTTCAGGATTCCCATTGTTCTGGGACTTCAGAAAAAATTTGGAAAATAATTCAGGCCTAATACCTTTAAAATTAGGAAAAGCTAGAGCTCAAGACTACATGAAAACACTAATTCACTACTATGATTTAAACCCTATTCTAGTAGAAATTGATAAACTTGACTATCAGGCTACAAAATTATCAAAAGAAATTTATTTACACTCTATGTCTGAAGCATTAAACTATTTGAAAATATTAAATATAACAAAAGAAAAAGCTAAGGTAAAACTCAACGAGATCATTCCTCACGCTAAAAGAATAACCAAAAGAGGTATAATAAATGGCTTAGGTACCATATTTAAATCTATTACAGGAAATTTAGATGCTTCCGACGGAGAAAGATATGAAAACTTAATAAGGGAACTACAACAGAATCAAAACAAATTAGCAAGTAACATTAAAAAGCAAAATTCAATATCTATTGATCTTATAAACAAGTTTAACAATACTTTAACACAAGTTCAGCACAACGAATTCTTATTGAAAATGAAATTAATTAAGGTAACAAACTATTTACAACAAAATTCAATTCAATATTCTTTAATTGTTGAAGATACATTAAACCAAATTATAAATTTGTACGAAATAATTATATCTATTCTCCAAGATATAGAAAATTCTATTACATTCTCAAAATTGGGTATTTTACATCCTAGCATAGTCGGAACAATTGACTTATTTAACGAATTAACTAAATTACAACTTTCTCCAAATCAGTTACCCGTTTCACTTACCCTTGAAAATATACCAACTATTGAAAAATTAATAAAGGTCGAGTGCTATATATATAACAATAAAATAACTTTTCTTTTGCATTTACCTGTTATGCATCCTTACACATTTGACTATTACCATCTATATTCCGTTCCTGTATTAACACAGGGTCAATTTAAGGTTACTAATTCAAATAATAATTTTCTATTAAAAAACGAATTGTACTTTGCATTCCAAAACGACATTTGCACCAAAATTGTACCGCAACTATACATATGTAGTCAAGTTAACATTCAAGAATATAAAGATAATGGTCCTTGCGAAATACAATTGTTGGATATGAAGAATACTAATTCCTGTCGACAAGCTGTAATCAATATATCAAAATCAATTATTAAACAAATGGAAGAATCGACCCAATGGATTGCCATATTTCCCAAAGAAGAAACCATCAAGTTGGTGTGTCAACAACAAGAAGAAACAATTAAACTCTACGGTTCATACCTTATTGATATTCCGACTAATTGTGAAATTAGTACCAGTGAAAGAAGAATAATAAACAAAGAAGAGNATCACGTGATGATGCTGACGTCTTAATAGTTGAAACAGCGATTGAAAAAATCAATAAATAATACAATTATCGTTGGCCAAGATATAAATCTGTTGGTACTCAAAAGTCGAAAATATACGATTACTTCGAGACAATTATCAAGTAGTTTGTGATAATGCAACATATATAATCGATGGTGGATTTCTCATGCATCCTGCCGTATGGAAAAAAAATTATACATTTAATATTATCATTAACAAATATATTAATTATTTATCAAATAATTTCGGTACAAATACTGTTGTCATTTTTGATGGTTACACTGATACCAGTAAAAATATCAAACGATCGAACAACTAAGACGAACCGCTTCCGTTTCTACATCTTCTGAAGTGCACTTCAATGAATCGATAGAAGTTCGTATCAGTCAAGAAAAATTCTTACCTAATCGATTTAATAAAAGAGAATTAATTGAAATGCTCACTGAGAAGTTCGAAGAAGTTGGTATTGCTACAAGACCATCACGTGATGATGCTGACGTCTTAATAGTTGAAACAGCGATTGAAAAAATCAATAAATAATACAATTATCGTTGGCCAAGATATAAATCTGTTGGTACTTCTCATAGCACGCACACAAATACTTGATCAACCCACTTCAATTTGTTTTAAAAACCAGGAAAAAACGATGTTGAAACACAAATATACTCGACTGATAGCCTCAACAAGTATGCACATTACACGAGAAATATTCTGTTTCTACATACCATGGGGGAAAGGAAGAATGAAAGTCATGAAGATGTTTGAAAAAAGACCCGATTAAAACAATTCTGCACACATATTACAACAAGAAAATTGCTCTCCAGATGTCATTGTCAATGCCATTTTCTACTAGCAATGTACGGTGCTCGAAAATCAGAACATTCGATAGATAATTACAGAGACTGTAGCTTTGCTAAACTAACAAGACAAAGCACAGTTGTAAATTTTCCATTATTACCACCTACTTCTTGAGCAGCTCCACAGCATATTTATCGAGTGTATTATCAAATACAAACCTGGCTAGGAAGAGAAATTGGTCCAGATCAGTGGGGTTGGGAGTCAGAAAATCATATACAACAGCTAATAACTAACAACTTTATTACCACCAGCACCCGATGATATATTAAACACAATATTTTGTAATTGTNATTAATATTAATAAATTTTTAAAAAGTCGATTTTGTCCGTCGAAAAGTTAATTCTCTGTATTTTTTTATAGTATCGTTTACGATATCCGTAAGAAGTTATAAATAGTAATAGGATAAAGTTTGAGAAAATATTCCCAAGGTATTTTTGTACTTCTAAAATACAATTAGAAAGAATATGGTTGAACAATTGACCGTCATGCAAACTCTTAATAATGTTACAATCAATTGATAAAAAGTGAATTACTCACGAGTGCAAAACTGATGAGGCCATAAACAAAGGATATCCATTTGGCCCAGAGAGCGCCTTTGTTTTCGGCAAACGTGATACCAAACGCACCATTAATGAAATCGCTACACGTAACGGCAGACAAACTATTAAGTGCTGACGCTACAGTTCTGAAACCATTATCTGGATGTTAACATTTATTTGTCTGCCTTAAAACAACAAAAAAATTTGCTTTACCCCAAACTTGCAGCAAAGATTCCTGCTACGAAAAATCCGGCCATGCCTTTCAGATGACCCATTTTGGAAACGATGTACAAAGGTAAGATTTCGTCTGATGCCGATATTTCTTTTGATTTAAGAGGGTCACAGTTACGATAATGGGCTACCAAAACCATACCCATGTAAAAGTTCACGGTATATACCAATATTAAACCAAAAGATGATGTCCATAAAGCTCTGACAACAAAGTTGTAATAGTTTTTAATACTTTTTGTCATTCCAATATGTTAATTTTAATCTATATTATAAGTCCAAGAATTTTTTTGTCTGTGACTATTGGGAAAATTAGCAAGAAACAACCATCCATAAAATAAAATAAAAATTACGTAACGCTGCGCCATAATGAAAATCAAATGTCTTTTTTACAACAAGTAAATTCAGGTAACAAAACTTAAATGAGCATAGATAGCATTGTTCTGAAATACAACGCATTGAAATTATTCAATCGTAGGACATTTATCCTTTACGTGTTCATTTACATATTTGTGACCTAGCATCCTAGTAACAATCGACCGGCGACTTTGATCCATCATCAGATCTGCCGCTCAACGATTCTACTTTATTTTTCATCAGATAGATTCCATATAAACGACCCAAATACAGTAGAACCTATATAAGTCGAACGTCAAGGAAGACGCCAAAAAATTGGAGTTTTCGACTTATGGAGGATTTTGACTTAAGCGAATTTTGATTCGACTTGTAGAGGTTAAGATTTGGTGTACTTACATTGTCGGCAAATCCTTAAAGTCGACAACTTAGTTTTCTTCGAACTATAGACGTAATAAAAGTTTCAAATTATCGAGTTGTAAAGGTTGTAAAATAAAACATTGCTATGTTCGAGATACAGAGGTCCAATTTACTTTTTCGAGTAACAAAGGGAAAATATGTACCAAGATGGCTAGCAAGGACTCACTGATTATTTCGACCAAAAGATGGTTGAGATTTCGAGTTTTGGAGGTTTTGGGGCTTGAAGGAGAGGGAAAAACATTTTTTCGAGTTTTAGAGATTTTCGACTTATCGAAGTTCGACTTAAAGAGGTTCTACTGTAGTATTTTCAATACTAAAATGATATCCCATACCCGCCTCAGCAGTGCACTAGTAAACAGTCATACAAGCTCTTTGACGTTAACGTAATATTCCATTCCAGCTCCACGATTGCATCAGTAAACAGCTCTTTGGGGTTAACGCGGTAATAAATTTCGGCGTGCTATTTTGAGTAAGTCCTGGTATTTTTTTTGTATTGAGAATTTTTCCCATAAATCATATACATATTTACCTTCTCACTTGTGAAATAGTTTCCACTGATAAGTACTTCTGAATCGATGCTTGATTTGAACAAAACATTGACATCCAATAAAACATTCCTCCGATAATAACTGACCAAAAACTGTGACGAACTGTTAAATTAGGGTTCATGCTAAAATATTACGTTAAATTAAAATGCATGAAGGAATTTAAGACAATCATTATTGAAAACTATGTAATAAATATATAATAGCAAATAGATCTCCTTGTGTGTCTTTGGATTTAGCAACATTGTCTTAAAGCCTCAATTACGTTTTAAAATGTAGGGATTTTCAATTACCTCTTGCTTTGAAAGTAATTAGATTCAAATCCTTAAGCTTGAAGCCCTTTGAATTACAAATTACAAAGTACTTTTATAAAGTAATTCATTTAATAAAGCGCAACTATTTGTTCATGAGTGAGCATGAATTACGGTGCTTCTGAACCCTGAAAGATCTGGAAACAAATTTTCAAGCACAAGTACTGAAACTCTGATTCTTATCACTTATTTATTTTTTTTTTGCATGAAAATAACAACTTTAGATGAGTATCTTTTTCCTACTTTTCAGTTTAAAAGGTTTTGTGTAATTTTACCGGTAAAAAATCTAGAGATTTTTGTTTAGTATATTAATGCTCAATTTAATTTTTCTAAGCAATCGTCAAATATTTACTACACGTTTTAGTTCCACATGATAAAAATTTCAATAATTAAACGTTTGTTTTTAGAGTTTTGTATGTCCGAATGAAAAAGGGAACCTTTATGGACTTATTAAGTTGAAATTTAATACACACATGAATTTCTGTGACTCAAACACAGACGCATAATGTAAATAAATTAATTTTGAACATGGCGGTCAATTTTTGGGGGACCAATAAGAAATTTAAAAAAAAGTTTTGCAAACTGTACCGTATGACATATCAAATAAAAGGGATCGTTGTAAGCATCTCAAATATATATTTTTTATATTCTTAAAATAAATAGTTTTAAAGTTATTGAAGAAAATAGATGAAAATTGACCATTCTCCCCTCTTAACTCCGAAACTACTGAACCTAAAATTTAGAAAAAGCTACAGAAAATAGTTCTTTACTTATAGATTACAGGAAAATTAATAATAAATCTATGGTCTGAACATAACGTGGTAAATCTTTCAACAAAACAATATTGTATGGAAGGACACGTTTTTTTTTTCAACTACAATGTTAAGTCGGTTCTCCTACGTCCATATGAACAACGGAGGTTCACTCGTGTGTCTGTCTGTCCGCTTTTTATTTTACAAAGAGTCAATTTCTCATCTAACTGCAAGTAGAATTATGAAGCAGTATAGGTACTGTATTTTACTAAAGCCTCTTTGAATTTCTTTGAATATTATTACACATATTATGGCATTAACTTAAAAAGTGCAATACCTACTTAAAAATTTCTAATCGACCGGTGTGGAAGTTTTCAGACCAAATTATTTCAGTTCCACCAACATATTGTTCTCCAAGATATAATATTATCAAAATCGAAGCTACAAGAACTGCAGCTTGAAAAGTATCTGTCATAATAACAGCTTTCATTCCTCCTTGAGAAGCATAAAATATACAGACAACATATACCACAGTAACTGCTACATATACGTTTAGACCAGTGACTGAAAAAATTACAATACAGCTGAAAGTAACTATTAAAATTATCGTGTCATACTTCCTAAGATTGGCATAGTATTTTTAAGTTTGTAATATGTCGTTTTTCCTGTTTTTAAAAAATTTTTAGATTTTTAAACCCCCTCAAAAAAACTTGGCTCGGGGTGATTCGACCCCTTGTCATTCTGCTTTTACACGGCTCTGATTAAATTATGGTTAAGATATCATAACTTTTACAACTTTGTGATTAGCGTAGCAACAGCAATTAACGCAGCTACACCCCAATAGTTTATAGGTACAAAAACAATATGTAAGACTTTAAATACTAGGGTCATTATAGCAACTTTGGGGATAGCAGATGTCCTAGTCATACAGAAAAATTAGGCATTTTTAATTTTTGTTTTATCTGATTTTCACCGATTTGGACAATTTCGATTTATTTTTGTAAAGTTATCTTGCCTTTTTTGATATCGTGAAGCAAAACAGTTACTAAACTACTGCGAGAATAAAAAAAAAAGGAAAGACCAATTTTATTCGTAAGTGTACAAAAAATAAAGTGAACATTGGTATTTCTTTTAATTTATATTTTTTCGACAGTTAACTAGAATGTTTGCGAGAAGTCTTAGTTTATGCATGTGTTTCATCAAATGCTTTTTTCTGTGGAGAAGGTAATCGTTTTAAGAATGTTTGGGAGGTACAATCGGAGACAAGAGTACATAAAAATAGAAATTCGTGATTAATTAAATGAGGTAAATAAATACTATCTATACGGTTTGAGAGAAAATTTGGAATTTGACCAAAAACTTTGAATAAAATAAGAAATAACGAATAATATGGAATTTTTTTTAACTGACTTTTGGCAGTAAATATGCCTTGATTTCAACTTCAACAAAAAAATATTTAGTTTCAATCTCTATTAATAATGAGCGTAAAACTTTTTAATATGTTTAAATAATAATTAAAACTTTAAAATTGCATTTATTTCAGACAATTATAAATATTGATCGGTTAAGTAGTCA